CAACATTAAATCCAATAGAGAGTTGATTTCATCCATCATCTGTCGTTTTCTGCCGTTAATTGACAAATTTTATTATAAATGTATGGTTTGAAAAGAGTTTTCCGTCAATATTTTTCTACATCTTGTCTAAGATATTAAACAGATTTTTGGAATGTAATGAAAAGCATATACTGGTAAATTATACGATTTGATTCCCAATATCCAATTTCAAGTATTACTGTGCCATTAAAAATCTATTAAAATGTGTAAATATTATTGTAAAACAACAAAATGGCATATTATACTAAGGAACATTATATAAGAGTCAACAAAATATTTCATCTCTAATATTTAGTATTCAATACAATACAATCGGTGTAACACAACTTGGTAAATTTATTTAATTTTATTATTCAACAATTACTGGTTAAGGACTAAATTTTCTAAACTATACAGTTCAATGACCTATAGAAAAAGCTCCAGAGTATCTTATCAAAGTCTCTAAGCTCGCAATCAAAGTTTTAATGAAACCTCTCAAAACTTGAGTGATTGTCACTTAAACTTTCAAAAATCTCATCAAATCAGCTGTCAATACTAAATAAGTACACGATAAATTCATAGGTAGTTTCACAGATTATAAAACGCCCCCTCTCTCCCTCTTAAATTTATATTGAAATCGCCCACCACAACCCACGGCCTACCCACGAAACCTTATCCACGGCCGTAATATCGAGAAGGCGTGTCGCAATCGGAGGCAGTGGCGCCAACAATAATTTTGTTTATGCAGCTGTTATTTTCAGCGACATGATCGAAAAGGCTGTTGCGATTGTTTACGTGTTGCATCTTGGAAATGTTTGGAAATATGAGTTGAATAAATTTGATGTTCAAGTAAATAAACTTATTAAATGTTTATGTAATAAATAAACATTTACAATGAGAACCCCCATATCTAAATATTGTTTGGTGAGTGGTTATGATGTTATTGGTGAAGGCTGCTGGTTCGATCCTAGCATTAGCAAAATCTATTTTCGGCCCAGGTTTTTAGTAAGGATATAATTTTATGATGCTATCTAACAGAATAATCCACCTAGATAGTAAAAAATCTAGTTTTTGGCCGTTTCCTTTGAAATAATTTAAAAAGCCAATGGCGTGGGAAATCACAAATAAGGGGATTAAAAGTTATAGATTTAATGGGAAATCGTTTTGTAAAACATACGAAAGAAAATAAAATAATTATCATAGATAAACCAGTAAAATTTTTCCTTTTAAAAATGACATATTTTAATATAATTATTTTATCTCAAAACGCTTGAATGTGCAAAGTGTGTAAGTATGTTTATTTGTTTTTAATGAAACCAGTCCAATAATAAATATATTAATAGGCAAGTATGTTTCTTTAAAACTTTTTTTCTCAGCTTGTGTCTATAGCAGGGAAAATCTACGCATACTGTTGGAAATATATTTTGCTGTAGATGTGCAGAATACCTTCATAAATTGAAATAGGCTCATAAATAAGCACAAAAAATTAATTTCAAATTTCAAAAATTAACATGAACCTAATGGGTTGTCATGCTGGTGACGAAATAACAACAAAAGATAAGCAAAAAATCAAAACAAATGGAATAAATTACAATCACATGTTATATTTACTGCTTAGGGTGAAAATAGAGAAGCCTGTAGTAGGCCTACATTACATATTTTTGGTCGAGTTTTCGACCACTAGTATTGTTCATTCAACAGTAATAATTGAATCCGAATAAATACAATACGACTACTGTATTTTAACCTTAAAATACGTTTGTTGCTTCGAATATTGCTATTGTACCTTTTTGACTAATAAATAACTGAGGAGAACGGTTAAACAACAATTTGTGAAAAACTTTGTATTCCAAGTCCAAGAGGCTCTATGCTGTCATGGAATGGCAAAGTTTATGTGGGCAGTTTTATTTTATAGTTGTAAAGCTAGGTTTATGTGTTTGCTTAACCCACTTCACAAGTTTATGATCTGTTTACCTTGTTTACTTGTACTTGGTTAGTTTGAGAATAATTTTGTGTAAATAAAGTTTATTTATTTGATCTTAACGATGTCTGGCTCCAGTAAAACGCCTGCAAAGTCATAACATTGTGATACCAGTCCGTACAATATTTACTTAAATGTTTAACATAATTTTGTATTTATTTGTGGTAATGTAAATTACAGAAATAAAATTACTCCTATTATTCTTAAAGCTCGAAATAAAAACTCTTTAACACTTCGTTTTTGAAGCTATTACATCTTGGTGTGTGAAGAAACTATTATTTTTTTACCAATTGAGAATGGGAGCGTCTGGGCGTTTTCAAATCAAATATAAGTACAGAATTGAGTAACCTTGTATAAATTGTAGACTATCCTAGTGTTGAATCCAGCTAAAAATACTGACACTAGGATTGAAGCAGCTGAAAACCCATAAACTACAAAGAATGAGACAATATTTCAGTCAAAAAATGATGCAGAAATGTTTTGTCTTGAGAAAAAATAACGGCTTAAGCTTGTTTGGTTTTGTACTCTATTTTTCGCCAAAGATTTTTAGCTTCTTAATTTTCTAAATGTTATTTCCTATATTTTGAAAATTACTATTCTCCTATCGTATTTCCTTTTGGAGCAACTGATGAATATTAGTAAACAAAATAGGCCTTGAGATTTGGTTGTGTGTCCAAAATTGGGAAAACAGGATGTTTCTGTGGGTGTCCGTGTTCCATTTCCAATTTGGTTGGCTCTAATATGAATTTTTCTCCTCAAACGTTAAATAAAAATGCATCAGGAATACATAAATTTAACATGAATAGGTACTTTATCTCCTGAAACTCTTTTATAATTCTTCTTATAGCTGAACTCATGATTGACTGGTTCCTAATCCTCGGAATTTTGTTACAAAACCAATCATCAAGAACTACTTTCAAACCACCAGAAGCTACCATTTCTCGATCGAACCTCGATACTCTTGGCTAGCATTTTCCTGTTCATAATATTGGTGCAAGATATTGGTGCAGAAATACATAGTTTTGAGAGTTTAGGCAGAAATTTATCAAGGCGTGTAGTATTGGCAAAAATGGAACATTGCATCATAGAGAAACATGCAACATATTTTTACGTCATGGATCAAACATAAACCAAGCGACTTTACAAGATAGTTGTAAGTCTTAATCTTGTAAATCTGCAGCCAGTGTGACTCATTTGTAAATACACGTATCAAAGGTCAAAGGTTTATGGATGATACTCCCCCTAGTCCAGATAACATTGAATCGTACAAAACCACGAACCACTAACCCGGTCATATTCAAACCTTCAGTTTCCTTTCCCCTCGGATCCTTACTGACCTTACCTTGCACACTCAGGACTTGTCTCTCCATAAACTTCCTCCTCGTCGCTCCTTATACATCCTTACGACCTCCCACTGTATTAGAGAATATTGTCATCCAGTCACTGCTCTGCTTCAAGACAGCTCAATGTATCGCTACAGGTATTCAGGATTTTTCGTTTTTAAATCTTAATCTAGGTTAGTTCTTTGTTGTTGACACTTTGAAACAGATCTAGGTTAGGTTATGTTTGGTGTGTGTGAGGTTATGTTTGTTTTGATTGGAAGGGCAAGTGAGGTTATGTTTGGAAGGATAAGTGAGGTTGTGTTTGGATAAGTTAAGATTGGTTGGAAGGATGGGTGAACTCATTTTAGTTAGGTTGGATTTAAAGGAAGTTTGGTTATTTTGAGGTTATGTTAGGTGGTATGTAATGTAAGTGAGGTTATGTTTGTCATAATTGAAAGTATAAAATGAGGTTACGTTAGGCCAAGGTTAGGTTAAGTTTGGTGGGAAGGGTGAGTGAGGTAATTTTGTAGGTTAGGTTGAAGTTAGAAGGATATTGGTTATGGTTTTTGATTTACAGTTCTGTCAAACTATGTTGCAAACAATCGTATGTTGAATGGGTTTACTGATATAAGTACAAAGTTTGAAAATATAGGTTTTTTGGAATAGCTTATAAAATATACGACTGCTTAGCCAACGATAGATGTATAAATTGTAACGTTAGATACGGTTATATATATATATAGCTAAGATATATAGCTAAGTTGCTAAGATTATGTTTGGACTAAACTAAAACTTATAGTACTGGTCGATTTGCAAGGCATATTATTTAGGTTGCATTAAGAAGGTCGCTCATAGGCATATATTTACAGAATATATGTAGTTTTTTGGTTTTAATTTAGGCTGCATGAGGTACTACGATACCTACCATATTGATGTCCTCGCGTAGCTTCTGGTTCTGTCGCGGTTGTCATCCAACTCCTTGGGTATTAATCTTCACGCATCAAATGTTGTGGCCAGTGTCCGAATACATCGATCTTTTCGGCATTCGCATCGTCAGATGAAGTTCACTTCAGACTGAGATGGGGACGAAACTTGGCTTATTTAAACCAGAATACGAATATGATAGAGTGAGACACGTGTAGCTTTGTTACAGACTAAGACCAGTTGTTTATTAGTTAGGGTCGTTTAAAATCCTACCAAGAACTGGGTACTGTTTCGACCCATTATGAATCTAACTTGACTTAATTGCAAATAAGTCTAGAGTTTGTTCAAAAAGCGAAGGGGTTCGGGGATTTGGACTACCCCTACCTGTAGCCAATGAACACAAACCTTATTCCTAGTCGTAACTTAACATCCCCACCTTTACCACCTTCGCTATTTGAACAAACTATGACGATCAATGCCACTTCTTTTCATAGGCGAAACTTCTGGCAGTGCACTGCATTTGACATGATTGATGCCGAAAAGATTACTTGTGATCGTGAAACTTCAGTTGATGAATTCACCAGGGCTAGTATAGGACTTTTGTCCTCTTCAGCTTGAAAAGGATCGATGCATTCTGCCTGTCCGATTGGCCATGTCTAGTGAAGCTTTCAGAGGCTTTCTGACCATTATAGCCACTTTGCCTCAATGTTCTTAAAAATATTGTTGTTCTGACGAGTCTTCTTGTTCTGTTTCAGCACGACGTCCAACTCCCTCTCCACCAGCTCTAGCGATGCTCCCAGAGGAGGCTCCAGCACGTGGCTTGAAAGCCTCAACTCTCCTCTTATCCAGGACACCGGCGACAACAAGATGCTCAAGTTGAGGTTTGACGTCAGCCAATACGCCCCTGAGGAGATCGTCGTCAAAACAGTGGACAACAAACTCCTGGTAGGTCTCTTGCTGAATTCTTTCCACTTTGTGCCAATAGTATCATTTTATGGATACTGAAAAGTAAGAACCTTTTTGTGCAAATGCCTCATCTTCATCTTCATTGTTGTCAACTTTGTTCTTGACAGTGTTGTCATGGTATTGCTCCTTAGCCCATTATTATTATATACTATGTATAGGCCTACTGAAAAAAAAAATTATCCAAGTACTTCATCGAGTTTCAACCACTTAGTAGAATTGGCTATGAATGCTGAAAGAAAACCTAGTGTGCAACTGCTTTTTCGAGTTTCTACCATTTAGCAGCGTGGGCTGTGGATACTGAAAGAAAACCTTTTTGTGCAACTTTTTGAGACAACCTTTTTTCTTCGAGTTTCATTAGATGTCTGGTAGTATTTAATGTAACAGAGACCTAACCAGGCTCATAAAATATCTATTACATGTTTGTATGACGAAAAAGGTTTGTTTGACCCTTTTACGTCTTTGTTAATTGAAATTATGACGAAAATAATGGTTCCAAAGAAAAAAACAGAAGCTGAAATTAGAATTTGTAAATAATTTAACCCTTGAAATTCGTTTGCGTGAATCCATTGGGTCTGTTTTAAATCATTTATCTTTAAGGGTTGAAAATCTAAATCTTTACAATAAAATTTCCTGGCACACCACCGTCCGACCTAAGGACTGATATGTCCATTAAAATATAATGGGTATATAAGTTTAGATTTTATCTAAATTTGACAATATGATAAATATTTTAGTTTATTCTGTAGTGTTCTTTCAATAGTGAGATTTATTCTGTATGTACTCGATTTCAGATTCCATTCCCTAAATCAAAACTCCGGATCTAAAAGAATTATCAATGTATCAACGGACAAAATATTATTCTATGTTTTTGACTCAAGGCTCAAGCTAGCGCTTAAAAGAATAATATCTTCCTATCTGCTATACAAGCAAATATAGTAGCGTCCAAACAACGAATGACAACTTCCCCCGTAATTCAATCTGTAGTACTATCCGTGATGCAACCATGTTAAGAAGAAAACATTCAAACAAAAACAACTAATAAGAATTCATCTGTAATGCAATCTCTGTAATATTCTACCCGTGATGCAACGAAGCAAGCCAACAAGAAACATTCAAACAAGTAATAAGTATTCGCCTGTAATCCTCTCAACTAAACAGCTGTCGTCGCTGGCATTTTGCTGTCTTGGCATTCCGTTGCGTTTGCGCGCTCGGCGCTACGACTCCAGTACATTCCTACTAGCTGTTACTCGTACTGTCTTGGCGATTATCGTATAAGTGGTGTCAATTATTGTAAATATGCCATATTACCGTACTGAGCTATAAATAGGCAGCTTACATCATCGTGAGAAATCTGTAGTTACCATTTTGTTTGCTTTGGGAAATTAAATACACTTCGTTGTTTTCTTACGAAATATCACCAACAACTATATTCACTAGGTAAACCTAACTACTGTTTGAAACTAAAGTAAACAAATATTTTGATTCTCTGGAAACATCACCCAAAATATTATCACGATAAATGTATAAGATTAGTACACTCTTATTGGGGTGTTATCATGGTTAATGGAAATTGTAATAAATATCCACACACTAAACACAAAACATATTTTTTCTTTGATGAAATTAGTAAAACACTAATTTGCCTCTAATCCACAACCTTCTTTTACTGTCAACATTATTCGTGTGTTCTATTACAAACATAACCTCACAAAAATTTGGAAACTGGTTTAGTTTATTAGTCAGTTGAAACTATACTAACTATAAATTAACAAAACAAATGTATATTTCACCAAACACCGTATTTTATCAACAAACGAACACGAACAAAAATTCCAAATATAAAAAACAGTAAAACACTTAAAGGTCTGTAATCTGTAGTATCGATGTATTTTCAATCACTATTGTGCTATATTGCCAACCTCACAACAATACAGCAGTCGTGAGTCACCGAACAGTTGGTATCACTGCCAGGACTCATTAGCAATGGAAAGCACAGTTTCTTGCTCTGTGTCGGCGGCGACCTCGTACTCCATGTATGGGCAGCGCCTCTGCGACTTCCCGCCACTATCTCCGATCTTCCCGCGCAATTTGTCCAGCTGTCGTCTGCAACCGATATGGTGCGCTCCAGCTGATATCACGTTTCGTCACGTCATGTCCTAATCAGCTGTTTCCGCTCGTTTAAATGATGATGTTAGCTCCTAAAATAGTCTTAAATTAGGTATGGGCTGGGATTTTTTGTTAAGCATTTTTCAGAGTGTTCAGTACAGAAATACAATTGAGTATACACGTAGGCCTAAGTGTGAAATAAAAATGAAAAAAAAATTCACGTATGAAATACCAAGTGATTAATTAGAAATTTTATATTTATGAAACTTTAAGGAGTTTCGTTTCTGTTTATTTATTCATTCTTCGATAACAACTGTAGGTGTAGGTAGAACGATAGTAATTATAGGTATTTATTGCAGCTTATTTTTACATCTAAATTTGGTTGTATTTTCATATTTTTTAACGAATTTTCATCAATATATTTTATTAGGATATTAATATATTTTAATTAACCTATTGGCACCAATGATTTTAATATGCATAATGTTCTAGGCGAAAATGTGAAAATCGTTAATCCAATACAAAGTCGTAGGCCTAATAAGAATCAAACAGCTGTTAATGTTATTTCCAAAACGTTTTTACGCAAGTTCGTATTTTTCCTCTGTCAATTTAGGAACAGACCACACGTTTTCGCCCACAAACTAGAAATGTCACCCGGGAAAAGATCTCTTAAACAGCATCATAAAGTCGCGTGAAAGACAGCTGAGTTGTAACTTATGACGTGTCTTGGAAAGATTTACTTTTGGAAGTCACGACTTTGCCACACGCAAACTTTGTTGAGATTTGTGAACTGTGTAGCATCTGTAAACGAAACTTGGACTGAAATTATGATTTACAACTACCTCAACAGTAAAATACCCCCGCCGCAGCAAACCTGCAGACTAAGCGAATTTCCATTTGACTGATTGGATTTATACTGAAATGTCTACTTAAAAATATAACATTTATTCTTGATTTAAATAGAATTAGTTTAACAAGTACTTAGGTTTGCTGCATCAGGGAGGGTAAAACTGTTTTTTTTTTTGTAAATGTGAATAGTTAGTAAGAAATGAAAACATTTTCCAAATTTGATCAAAATATTTCACAAACAAGCAAACTACAACAGTTTACTTATTCTCCATAAGAATAACATGGGAATTTTAAATTTACAATTTTTTTGAATTTTCTCCGTAACCATTAGTCGCATAATAACGCTTCAATATACTAAATTATTTGTTTTTTTAAGCTCTACAAAATGGTTTGGAAAGAAATTGCTAAATTTTATGTTTTTTGGGTCAAAAATGGGAAAAACCTATTTTTACCCCATAAAACCCCCCGTAAACCCCCGTTCCCATGGTCCGATCATGCTGGATCGCGAACTCGTTCGAATAAACGTACGTTTACACGTTTGTACCAAATTTCATCAAAATCGGATCATTTTTGCTCGAGTTATCGTGCTGACGGACACACATATATATATATATATATATATATATATATATATATATATATATATATATATATATATATATATGAATTTGAACGGATGGTGTTTTTGGCCTCTAGGGACCTCAAAACGAAAAAAAAATCGGTCCCGCGTCCAGGTCTTACCATGAGTACTACGGTAATAGCTTATTCCCTATATGGGAAATTCGCTAATAAAGTTTCTCATTCACTCTTTACTCTATAGTTATTTTATCCAAGAACTAGCAATAGTTTACGTATATGTATGTTGTCAAGGCGTTTTCTAAAAGTAAGGGTGAAAATTGGCAACGCCGCAGTCCCGGCCACCTGTTGTACTAATTTATAATGGAACGCATGCGTATTGTTTATGTTTACTGCTATCACCATGGCAACAGGCCGGCCGGTGCGACGTTGCCACACACCAACGCCGCGGTCTTGTATAGGAGGTTATGATGTTTAAATATGTATTTTTAAATCGATTGAAGAGCCATTAACAAATAATTACATTAAACAAATGTCTCTTTTGATACATAAGGATGTCAAATCGAAAAGGGAGTACGATTAATCGATTTTATAGGCAAACAAATATTATAAACTTCTACGATACAGTACATCCTCATTTGAATTATTTAGGTTATTATACTAGGCGACGTTTGAAAATGTATTATATTTCCAGGCTGTTTACGATTTAGATGTATATAGGCTTTTGTATTTTTAGTACCTACTTGTGAAAGTTAGAGACACGCTAGACAATATCATAAACAAATTATTCGTTTACGACCAATCTGACTTTTTCTGTTATCACTAAACACGAAAGCTTTTATTGTTGTGCGTGTCGTCTGCAAATGCCACGGCCTTTTATATCGTTCAATGCCTCACAGCCACGCAACTGTCACTGACTTCGTAATCGAAACGTCGCGTCAAAACAAAAACGTTAAGCGTTCTCGCACATACGCACGATTGTGTAATATGATCCTATCCACTACCGCAGGGCAAAGCCCTTTCCTAGAACGCATTCGAACTTTTTCTAGTTGTTGCGTGTAGATTGCATGATAGCACTGTTGGTTTTGTACTGAATTCCTCTTTGTTTCGTGCTAATAATCAGCAAAATAGTTGTGAAATGGGATTGTACATAGGGGTTCGTGTTATTATTTCTTACGTCATCGAAATGAACTACTAGTTCACTGTACTAGGATGGAACATAAACCAACTCTATTGACGATGATACTATAGAACTTACAAACGAAACATAAATCATCATCGTGTAGTACAACAGTCACAATACTCATAACTCATTACTCTTTAAATTTAATGAGTGACAATATTTTTCCCAACAAAAATTAGGGGAATGTTTTATCCTCCACTTCATACATTTGTAAAATAAAAATACTAGTTTAGTAAAAACCTTTTTTTAAATTTCATATTACCATGTCTTAATTGTGATTTCTTTTTGAAATCTGCAAGAAGCAGGAGGTATATTTTTCAATGCATTCGTTGTCTGTTATATGATAAATGTTAGGCCTACTAGTTTCTTTGTCATGACTTAACCTCAAAAATTTGAAATGCCTGATCACATCACAGGCATAGACGTAATGATCAGACTTTTCAAATTTTGAGGTTATGTCATGACACAGAAATGAGTAGGCCTAACATTCATGTCTCTATCTTTGACGAATTGTCAGTCCACTATGCCTCAACAACTTGAGTAAATACCCAACTGTACAAGAGTTTGCAAGAGTTCTTCTCGTCGTCAAGTATTGCATTTCCATTTCGTAGTCGGTCGCGGCAAGCAGGTCATGTTGGGTGGGAGGGGGAGACAAAAATACCCTCCAAGGCGCTCGAGTTGGCTCGGTTCTCGCATTGTTTCTTGTCTGACCAAGAGACAAGGCTCAGAGAATATCGCCCTTGAAACTGGCGAAATTATTATCTCTCTGTACCTTTGGCTACATGGTTCTCAATTATTTGTGCGGAATTTTGTTTTGCCCTTTAAGAGTAATCAACTTTGAATTCAAGTAGAATTCTCACGCTTCTGTACAATTTGAATTTTGCCTGTGTTTTTGTGAAAGTTATACAGTATATTATTATTTTCTCTGCCATTACCAAACCCAATTAAAACCCAACCACCCTTTGCTGACTGACTTTCAGGGTCTGAGATCTAATTTCAGTTGCCTGCATTCCTGAATGGTTCACACATTTTTCAATTTGGATGTAAAATCTTGCAACTTAATTCCAGCAAAGAATTGCTCTCAAAAGCAATTTTAATTTTTACTTAATCCTTCAGTCATTTGATATTGATTCATGATTGAGGTCCCTACATTTTTACTTTGGAGAATTTTGTATGCATTATGTACACATGTGGATACTTAAATTTCCTCAAGTCAAAACTAATTTGAAATCAAGTGTTGATTCAGGAATGTCTTGAAGAAGACAGCTGGAATTTAATCTCAGAAAAAAATCACTCAATGATATTGTTTTAAATTTTCTTCGTTGGTAGTGAGTTTATGTTATTTTGTAGATTGTTTCGGGATTTTATTCCATCACGATGAGTAAAAGCTAAGTTTTCGTCATGTTTCGGGATCTGGAATCTGACCTCTTCCTCTCAGAATGTTTAGTTGAGTGATCAGTCAAAGTTGAAAAATCACAATTAAAATCACACAGAGAACTCTACACTAATAAAAAAAATCTACCCATTAAAGGGTTGGTGTTTTTTGTTTGACTATTATACAGTTTTCTGTGTGGTTGTTAATTGTGATTTTCAGCTTTGACTGGATTTTGTGTTAATCTGGCTCTATGTTTGTGTTAATTACTTTCTCAGCTGACTACAACAGGGAATTAGATTCCAGATCCCAAAACATAATGAAAACTAATTATCGGTTTTTACTAATTGTTATCCAAAATATCTAGGCCTACAATAATTGTTGAAATAGGATAAAATCTAGTTATCTGGGTGGTTTTCAGTTTTTTACCACGATGCTGTCCAAAATAACTGACACCTTGGCCAGTACTGAATTTCTCTTCAGCAGGTCCTCGCATCAGAAGAACTAGTCCACAATTTCATCCACTATAACCATAGACAAAAAGAATTAAATATAGACCGTCAGCTGTGCTGCGTTTACCATAGGTTCTGGCGCACACTGCTGGGAGCGCCATGTTGTTACGGCCTACGCGCTACGTAACTACACGGTGCTCCCAGCGGTGTGCGCCAGAACCTATGGTAACCACTGCACGGCTGACAGTCTATATTTAATTATTTTTCTCTATGCTATAACTGATATCCTGAGCTTTTGCTTATTCTGATTTCTCTTCTGCAGGTCCACGCCAAACACGAGGAGAAGACAGACAGCAAATCCGTCTACAGGGAGTACAACCGGGAGTTCCTGCTGCCCAAGGGGACCAACCCCGAGAGCATCAAATCATCCTTGAGCAAGGACGGAGTTTTGACGGTGGAGGCCCCATTGCCAGCCCTGGGACAACCCGAGAAGCTCATTCCCATTGCGCAAAACTAACGTGCCTACATCACAGAGGTCTTCAAGAACTGGCCAGGTCTGCTGCTAAAATTATTTAAGATTTTAATTTTAATTCTTTGTGAAACAATTTTAAATTTTATTTATTCAAAATCTTTGAAATATGTTTGCAACTGTGTTGTAGTAAAATATTTTAAAATTTTAAATTGAAGTAGACCTGGTCGGCTAAGACCTTACCACGAGTGCTTTTATATGCGGATGTACAGCGTACACAAAACTATATGTTGTAAATTTTAATTTAGAAGAAATTTTATTTATCAGTATTTTTATAAAACCATATTTTATAAGTTCTTCACAATAACCTCACACTAATGTAGGTGTAAATGTTGTAGTGAATTTTGTTAACTCGTTTTATTTATTCCGCCCAAACGCTTTACAGGTTTTTAAAATTATGTTACATGTTTGATTTAATTAGTGTTTATATTTTTGTTCTTTTATGTAATTAAAGTAATATTGTTTCAATTTGGTATTTTGATTTTTTAGCCTGGAAAATTGTGTTCCCCTAAGTTTTGGTTTTAAAATTGTTCTTTTTTTTACTTAAGATTGAGTATTAAAAGTTTTCCTGTATGAAATAACTGAAACATGTAACTTACATTTTTTGTATTAAAACAACTTGAATCTGAGTTATATTGTAAAACTAAAAAAAGTAGAAATCTTAGATTGATTTCTAGAATTTACGTAATCCTTGCAAGTTAGATATCTCTGTACAAAATTTCAGCAACTTTATTTGGGTGTAGTGTGATGGGATCTGGGAACACATGCAACCACGATCTAACATTCAAAAATTTATTTAATTTTATCACATTTTTTGTTCCAACGTCCAACGCTTATCATAGTGCAGTAAAAACTTCAGTGATCTAATTAAGTTCAACCGTCAAGTCAATTAATGCCTTAACGAGGGCCCCAGACACCACGACCTGTTAATTGGTCATTAGTGTCAAAGGTCAGTGTTAATTGGTTTGAGTTGACAGTGCAGAAAAGTGGTTGTTTTAGTTACAGAAAAGAAAATTTAAAGTCTTGCATTTCAAGACAATCTTATTCCTAATTAAATCTTATTTTTGTTGTTAATCATATTTAGTTGACACGTTGTCAAATTGAAAATATGCCTAGTTATTTTCTTCTTCCATTTCTTCTTTTTGTATATTCAATTATTTAATTTTGGATATCGGTACTAAAGTAGACCTGTATATGAACCAGCTTTCGCAAAAAATTTAATATTAAAAATCGTAGTTCTTTGATCCAGTCACCGATTGCGCTAGTGTCCAAAATTTCATTTTCTACCATATTTTTTTTGTTATTGAGATAGTTATATGCTTTAGCTTCCAATAACTCATCCTATCAGTATAACTTGGTTAAAAAGGAAGCATGTTTGAAAAAATAACTGTAGGTGGATCCATCTGTAGGTGGATCACTTCAATTTTAACATGGGAGGGGATGGAATGTCTAGTTGTATTAATAATACAGTCAAAAATTCTACTTCATTCCCTTTCCTATCCATTCCATCCTTCCAACCGATGTTACCTTTATTACATTTGACAATCCTTTACTGTATTTTATTCTGTGTCGTTACTATTTATCTACTTGATCTAATATACCCAAGTATTAAACTGTCCAAGCTTAAATCCTGTTTCTGGCCAAATGCCAGCTGTTAATTGAAGTAAACAAAACCAGAAGAGCTAAAACCGAATGATGTATGTCAAGAGAGGTAAGTTTCCAAATTTGGAAGCAAGGGGCCCCCTGTGCTCTCGGGGCTTTGGAAAACATCCTTTTTGGGCATAGGTTTCTCAATCTTCGATTTATAACTTCATGTCCATATTTAACCTATTGACGTTTGTTTGGTTACTGAAGTAGACATCTCATCTATATGGATCAGCTGAGCCTGTTTTTATTGTTAACATAGCAAAATGAGCAACGTACTCGTACTCACAGTGCTCACAATCTATAGCAATACATTTTAGCAATAGAAAACAACCACAGGTTTTGACACAGCCTAAACCATGTTTGACATAAATACGGAGGCTTATTTAAACAGCTGTTGCTAGACCATATGTGTAAACAGCTGATTGCGAGTTAATTAATGAATCCATCAAACTGCTTGGTCTTGTGAGAGACATATAGGTAAATTATTTTTATAGTAGATTGTAAACATTTTACTAGATTTTTGAAATTAATTTTTTTTATTTAAACGTTGTGAGTGTTTCCCTATGTATAATCAAAGAACACTGAAATAAGAGAAACACACTCTTTATTAACATTTGTTGTGTACTTAAGCATGACCAAACATAAAATTACATATTGAAAACAAAAAACTCTAAAATTCAGACTTAATAATTGATTGAGTTTAAGCAATAACCAAATATAGGCCTAATGGTTTTACTGCTAGTAAAGACTATCCTTCTTAAATTTAAGTGCAACAATTTAACATTTGTGCTTAAAGAATTAACTTAGATTTGAAATGTACCTAATCTTATAATACCAACATAGAGTAGACATCCCATATCCATATGGACCAGATTTGCCAATTTTGTATTGAAAAATATCTTAGTTGTGTGAGCCAGTCACAGAATGCGCTAGTGTCTAAAACTTTTTTTCATACCTTATTTTTTACGCTGACCATGTTTATGGGTCGTAACAATTGTTATAGCTTATAAGTCATTCTATTATTTAGACTTGGTATAAATAAGTGTTTGCATTCTACAAAAATCTGTAAGTTAGATCAGCGCAATCTGTCGCTGGCTCTCATGAACTACGATGATTTTGATTTTTAAAAACTGGCTACAACTCTAACATGTGGATGGAATGTCTTTGTATACATACACTTACTTACATACACATACTTATTTGTCAATATAAAGTCATAGCATTGACTTTGTCTGTGGTTTAGGTTTAACCTTTTTTCCAACAGTTAACAACACAAAATTAGTTTTCCAAAATTTTTTGAACACATTGTTTACTGTGATCTTACAATAAATTGTTTTAAACCTCGGCTGTCACAAAAATTTAGAACATTTCGTTAAAAATGGAGATATAAACTAGACAAGACCAATATTTCTGTAAAACCTTTTGGTGTCTTATATTTTGTAAAAGTGTATGCTACTTACCCACAGTACATTACATATGTTTGGAAACTAGTTCATACACTAAATTTAATATAGTTAAAAAATATTCTACTCTTTCAACAGATCGTCAATCCAACATGAAAATTCATTGATGGACACCCGGCCTGGGCAAGCTAAATATACCCTAGGATTCCAAGTCTATATATAACTACGCTGGCTGTAGACATAACTCAAATATCAGTTCAGAAACCTGACTACATTGTATATTTTACTGGATTGCAATTGCAAATGTAGTTTTACTAAAGTAACATTGTATTCAATGCTGCAATTTTAACTGCAACTTGACTATGTGATGGACTTTGGATGTAATTCAATTTGTGGGTTTTTAATTTTTATTTAACCTTAATTAGAGTTTTAAAACAATTCAAGTGTAAAATTTAGCGGTATTTAGTTTGAAAAAGCTCAACAAAAATTAATATGAAATTTCATAAAAATATTTTATCTGATTTCCGTTCTTACCTTTGACTATTGATAAAAATAGAGATTCCTCATTTAAGCTACAGCCAGTTTTAAAATAAAGATTAAGTTTAGTTGAATAAATATTCTTAGTCTGACAAAATAATCTCTGTCGTAAATTAAATCATAGAGCAACAAAATAAAATAAGAAATATTAGTCTATGGTTTTGACTTTTCCAAAATGAGTAAGTTAAAATTTCCCTGGACTTAAGCCTATAAAAAGTTATTCAATCAAAATGGAAATTTATCTATCTAATACCATAGACTAAACACTCCCTAAGGGAGTATGTTTAATCCATGCCAATACTTACCCTGAATATACAGGGTGTCCGGTCATAAGTGTTAAATAAAATTTTGCATTAAACTACATGGTAATGGTGACAGAATGTCGCAAATTTGAGGTTCCCAACTTCAACAGTTAGAGAATAACAAATAAATCAAGATTTTTCAAAAATTATTGTAGTTGTTATGAAAAAGGTTATTTTACTCTGTTAAAAATGCACTTACTGTCAGTTTCAATGTAATTTTCAGAATCCTCACAAAATTTTAAATAAATATAACACATAATCGTTGGGGTACGTAAAAATATTCTATTTAAAATTCTTCGTTAAACAAATTATTTTTATATCGACGAAAATGTAAATAACATTCAGCAGTTTATTTCTCGGTTGTTGAGTTCCGGAGAGGTTATCAAATATGACTAAAAACTTCCTTATTTAAAGGGCTTTACAATGATGTATAACAACATTTACCTACTGTCAAATCCATGGTGAATTTTACGCACTATTGTGAAAAATCACGGTCAAGCCAAAACAGATATTGTAAAAAATAATAAAATTTTACTTACTATTTTATGAGCTGACCACTGATGATGAGGGTATGTATAATTTATGATTGACCAGACTACACTTCCATCAAACTAAAGAGTTTTTTTTAAGACTTTGGAAAATTTGTAATTAAAAAACACAACACATTAGTAAAAAACATAATACACACTACAATTTAAATATGAAATGATAGTTAACCCATTAAACAAATCAATGACACACTTTGTCCGAAGCACAAATCACAGTTTGGGTGTAAAGTGCCCACCGTTTTCCCGCAAGCAGGCCCTAGCTCTTTTGCAGATTGCGCCAACTGTGACCTCATACGTCAATATTTCCCTTACTTTCCCAGCAGCCTCAAAGATTCTCTCCCGTAACTCAACTTCAGAGTTTACAACAGTTGAGTAAACTAGACTTTTCATGTAACCCCAAACAAAAAAATCTAACGGGCTCAAGTCTGGAGATCGAGGAGGCCATGTCACACTTCCTCCACGTCCAATCCATGTCGGGTAGTTTTGGGATAGCCACAACCGAACGCTTTCAGTAAAATGTGGTGGAGCACCATCCTGCTGAAATATGATTTCAGCTCTTTGTTGAGGATCAATTTCATCCAACAACTGAGGTAGAGAGTGCTGAAGAAAATCTAGATATAAATCACCGTTCAGATTTCCTTCGAAGATATGAGGACCAATTAACCGATCTCCAATCACACCTGCCCACACGTTGATCCCAAACCTTTTTTGAAAAGAAGCTTCTCTGGAGGCTTTTGGATTTTCATTATTCCAAAGATGCATATTGTGAATATTTATCACACCTTCTCTGGTAAAACGGGATTCGTCAGTCCATAGTATTTTTTTAAGGAAGTGATATTCAACAATATCACGTTGAAGAAGCCAGCGGCAGAACTCCTTTCTGGATTCGAAGTCACGAGGCTCCAATCCTTGGACCTTTGTAAAATGATACGGATGGAAGTTATTGTCCTTCAACACTTTATGTACTTTCCACCGGGACATACTAGTTTCAAGGGCAAGCTGCCTAACACTAGTAGTAGGATTATCCATAA